CTCCAGGTAAACTCTGACTCAGTCAAGTTAGGGTTCTGACAAATTCACAGAACTACCAATGACTATTGGCCTTGATTCTTGTTTGTTACCTTCTGAATCCAAGCAGCAATTCCATATAACAGACAGGAGGACTCTCTCCTCTTCTCCATACTTTCAAACTTCCTGATTATATTTTGTTGTCCATTGTGTGTCACAAAAGGCAGGTCTAGTTGGGCCCTTGGCTTGACTCAGCAAGATACTTACATCGTTAATTTATGTATTGTTGAGAAAATAAGTGCAGTCCCAAAGGTTTCTCATGGAGGTATGACAAGAAATGGGATTGTGCCAACCCCATCTTTAAAGTATATAGGACTAGGAGGGGTAGTGATCTGAAGCAATGATAATGTTGTCCATGTTATCTGACTATTTGCTGCATACAAGGAGACTGACTTTCAGGCAAGCATGTCACTAGTAGAGTTTCATCAATCTAATCTGTCTAATCACTATCTAATCTGTCAGTTCCTTCCATCATTTTTCTACCAACTTGGGGATTATGGAATGAGACAAATTGCAAAGTGGCAAAAGTCATTTGTACACAGGGTGCTCATCCTGAATTTACAGAGTAATTTCTGGGAAGTGAATCCATTAGTTGACTGCAAACCACAGCCTTATAAATGTTAACAGCACTTCTGCTGCAAAGAGTATTGGATTCCTTTCCCAAAGTACTAGTAAATGATAAACCTCTTAGCCCATAATTGAGTTCAGTTACCCATAGGTGCTTATATAGCATTTTTTCTTAGCTTATTTATTCACCCAAATCTAAGTCTGGGTGAAATCACCAAAATACTTATACTTTGCTCAGAATGTGCAATTCTCTCCAATACATAATAAAAGTCACTTCTCCTCAGGGAGGACTATTTCTTTTCAAATGTCACCATGCAAGTCTCCTGCTATTTTTCATTGTCTTTATATCCCAAGCCTGTTGAGCTATATATCTTGCAATGGCTATAATCTATGAATGCAGATGTAACTAGGAAAAGTTTGAACCTAAAAGGACAAAGTGATAGGAAGATTTTTTTTAAGCCTTAGAAAGCATTCTGGTAAACTACGAAACTTGAAAAAAATGAAGTGATTATTAGAAGATATTTCTAAATAATATAACTATTTTAAATTTAGACACTCACTTCAGCCTGATAACCTAAAAAAACAAACAAACAAACCTATAGGACTGTGGATCACAATCATAACAGGAGAAAAGTAAAACATTTTGGAAGCGTTATATATAATGAAAGGGCAGATTGTAAACTAGCTATCCATACTAAATAATAGATGATAAGTCTTTCTAATTTTTCTACAGAATCACAGATCTGAAACACCTTTATTTATACATCTTGTAATTCCTTTTGTTTTTCATTTTATGCAGCAGATAGTTGATGACTGTAGAAGGCCTAAGGTTTAAGCCTAAAGTCACTTCTACTTTTTTTTTCCACCCATATTCAGAGCACAAAGCATAAATTGAAATAACATGAGAGCCACATGCCCTGGAAAAGTTTAGAAGCTTTTAACTTCCTAGTAAAATAGACATCAACTTTCTAAGTGAGAGAAGGATGTATCAACCTCATGATCTCCATCTCCTCTACTTCCCTACCAGACACCCTCCTTGCAAGGGAGGGTGATGCAAGCATCATATTTTGGAATTCTGAAAGGCCAGCAAATGTTTAGTTATTTCATTGACTCAACCTGATTAATCAGCCTTAAGTAGGTGGAGATACAAAATGTCTTAAGTCAGTTCCCTACCATATTTGAACTTCTGGGTTTCACAAGTTAGTTTATTTTTATTTTTATTTAAATGTGCTATGGAAGAAAGTTGTAGCTTCCCTTTCTCAATTGTAACTCCAATTTATGTGATCTGATTCAGGGTTCTTCTAAATCTGTGCTGGCCTCCATTCAGCAAAATAACTTTTGGTGGATCCATCACCTTCAGTGTCTTTTCAACACCAACACTCTGCTCACCAACAAACCGGGCTTCCCAATGGTGGTACATACTGTAATTGAAGCGATGGCAGCAGAAGCATTTCTCACTGCTTTATTTGTAGGGATGTATGAAGCCCATCATTCTGACAATTCCGGAACATTTCATTCTTCTCTGGATGTGTCCCGATCTGGAACATCACAAACTGCTTCCAGTTTGGAGGATTAATTTCTGGAAAAGTGGTAGTCCATACCCAGAACAGCTGAGCAGTAAGTTTTGCTAAGATGATACACATACCTGTGTATTATCTATAATGCATGGGTTGAGGAAATTAGGGAAATGTAATCCCCTAAGAGTTGTCAGCCCAGATTCTTTGGAGGCATTAGGATTCTAGGATTCTTTTAGCTACCCAGAAGATCAAATATTGATGGCCTGAGATTTGGAACAGGAAGTAATAATGGAATTGGATCACAGCTGTATCTTGGGAAACAAATAAAATGTTAATTTGTAGAAGGAAATTGTACTTTTTAGTTTATGCTCCTTTATCTCTATAAACCTAATTCCTCTGAGCTGAACACAGAGACAGTTACTAATGCTATTGCTATAGGCTGTCCTAACTCCTAAGGACATGGGCAAACTCCTCATTTAAGAAAACTGCCTCTGAATTTAGTTTGTCTAAAAAATCTTTACTTATAAATTTTGTTGCAACTTCTACTTGGCATATTTTTGGAGACAAAAAGAACAGGAAACAAAAGCAAATGCAATAAGGGAAATGGCTAATGGGTCCCAAATGGAAACATCATGGGTCACTTGCAGGTTTGTGATAGCTCAATGAATATTGATATTATTTAGTAGCATAGCCATGGGCTCTGAATTTAAATTTCATTTAAATGTGAATTTAAGTACACAAACCAGCATGTGAAATGAATTTATACTATATGAATGTATACTGTAATTTTAATTGATTTTAGCCACTTTGTAAACCACCCAGAGTTGTTTTAACAAGATGGGTGGTGACAAATTTAAATATACATATACATATACAGTAATACCTTGGTTCACGAACGCTTCTGTTCACGAACAATTTGGTTCACTAACAGCACCGTTTGCAAAATTTTGCTTCCGTTCGCGAACTCCGCATCAGGTGACGAACATGCCCCGCGGCCATTTCCCCTGCTGTGACAGGTGGTCGTGGCTTCCTGTAGGGAGGGGGACTCTCCCTCCAAACAATAACCACCTCTTCATACTGTACTGTACTGTACTTTGTTTCATATTTTTGTGGTTTAAAAAAAAATACACATGGTTCAGAATGGATTAACCGTATTTACATTGAACCTTACGGGAAAATTTGGTTCGGTTGGCAACCAATTCGATTTGTGACCAGAGTCGTGGAACGAATTAAGTTCATGAACCGAGGTACCACTGTACATATACATATACATATACACATATATACATACATACATACATACATACAAATAAATAAATAAATAAAATTGTATATACTTAAGTGTTACCATTTTTCAAGATAATGAAAGTTAATTGTATTTTTCAACAAAATTTGGGGGGGTGGAAATGTGCAACTCATAATACAGTTACTAAGTTGTCACACCTCTCTAGAAATGACACAACCTTTATTTATGTATTTAAGATCACACTGTATATCCCCTGCCACCTGTGTCCATATGCTGTTCAACTGTTTAGTTTTTGGCTGTAACGACAAACATGGCATACAGTCTCCTTTTTATGCTTTCCAATCATTAGGAGATTCTTAGATATTCCAGCAGGCTTTCTCTTTGAAAACATTCTCCTAACATGTGGATA